ACGAGTCCCGAAGTCCGCGGTCTGGATTCCTTGCTCAACTGTAAGCAGTCGTACAAGGCTTCCTTCTGCTAGTTGAAGCTTTCCACCAGTAAGTCAAACAAAAGCTCGGTAAGCCTTACTTGCTCTGGCTGGCACAGCCTTGGCCGTAACTGCTTTGCATGCCGTGCCTAGATCTGTGCGCTCACGATCAAATTATGCATGACATTCCCGAGCTTGTTTTGGACCGCCCTGATAAATCGTCGTCTCGGTTTACACACACTTTGGAATGCGGCAACTATGGACAGAGACTCTGGCCATCCTTTCTAGAATTCTTCTTTCGATAAGGCTTCCTCACTTTCTTCGACCGGACCTGACTTCGGAATCCCTCCTTGTGTCCCGCTTATGGCACGGTTGACAAATATGACGTTTGAACAAACAAAAGTGTGCGAAATCCCATTAGTCGCATGGCCACCATGTTGTGGGCGATTTGTTCGTAGACCAGTTGAAGGGCTTACTTGAGTTGACGGTCCTGGCCATTTTCACGCAGTGCAAGGTATCTGGTGGTGCGAGACCATTCCTTTTGACCAGGGCAATGTAGTGTTCTAGAGTAAACAGCCATTTGCATTTGCTTACGAGGGCCTACAATGTCAGATCAGGATTCTGATCCAGCTTAGTTAAAAGCCGAGTGCGGATCTCAGCATCACTGAGGGATTGTAGTGCACTGACAAAAGTCCGACACTTAAACTGATCGTCCGTTAAAGAGCGTAGGTTGAAATGCACACACTCACGGCTAATCACGTCTGCTAGGGACCCAAAGTCCTCCAATTCCCGTTTGACCATTTCAGGCATGGGTAGCGAATACTAAACAGGAATGCTGACTCCCCGAAAATTCATTCAGCTGCAACACTGCTTCGTCAAACGTCAAATGCTGCGGCTGTCTGGGTAGAATGTGGTCTCTAAACCTTAAATGTTTACTTATCCTGAGCTTGCGGAGTAGCAGTCTTCCCTTCCAAGAGTCGTCAAAGCGAATGAAATGCGTCCAGAACATGTCTTCCCACCGCTTCAACTACGCTACGAATGTGCATCCAGAATCCGCGTCAAAATTGAATTCGGTGATTGCGTTCGTGAGAACACCAACACAACAAGAGCTGCGTGCTCCGCTTCGTTGCTCTTGTTGTCTGCAAAGTCAAGCATTGTGTTAGATTTTCGATCATTGTCATTTGTACCTTCATTTAAGATTGTCGTTGGAAAAACAGCTTTGAAATTGCTCAGCAGAAAAAGTCATCACATTTTATTTTTTCAGCTTCCATTTGTTATAAACTCATCAGACGCGATGCAAAAATTGGCACTTTATTGCTCCACAAAACGTCTAGCGCAACCGAAATAAAAAGCAGTACACCAATAAGCTTACCAAGATAATCTGTTAACCTCCATCAACAAAACACTGTACATGTGCCGCGGACCATGGCTATATATATAGGTCTCTTACTGACTTCAACTTCTAGAATTGGAAGAGCAACTACCAAGATTAGTCGTTCCCCACAAATTTAGCCGAGATGTCAGGTGGTTGGTAGTCACGCGCAAGACTTAGAACATTCCAGTAGGTTTGAAATTGATACGGTAGTCGTTAATATTCCAACAATCACCAAAATAGTGGACTTTTCAGGCAAATTTTACTTTTTTCCGGCCTCCTGCTGCTGGCATGTCATCGCCTCAGGTCAAACAGGATGATCTCTGAAGCACCCTGTAGTCTAATTCACTGCATATGCAGTCCGTTCCTCTCCAAAACATGGACGGAACTATCCCAGGTGACACGTGCCTACAACTTTCAGACGCACAGTCATTGATACCGTTTACACACTATCTCCTCCTGGCATTCGCCCATCTTTAAAACTGGCAGCCCATCTACTCGTTTCGCCAAGTGTAAACAAAGGTGTTTGCAACTGGGACCAAGCTTGTCTTCCCTGTCAACTCTCCAAGGTACATCTACGCACTCGTATTCCTCCTGGCTCAGTACCTGCCTCGGATTCGTGGTTCGCACACGTACACTTAAACCAGATATGACTGTTGCCTCCTTCGTGCGGATTTAAACACAAACTGACATTTGGTGACCGCTACACCAGATGGCCAGAAGCCATGCCTGTACCCGCGTGCACAGTTGAAACAGTCGTCCATGTCTTCTAGGACCGTTGAGTGTCCTACTACGTATGCCCATCCACCATCACAACCAACTGTGGAATGTCTTTCAAATATGTGCAATTCGATACGTCCTGAAACTTCCTAGACTTCAGCCGTATTCACACGACGGCATATCACCCTGCAGCAAATGGCCTAGTCGAACGCTTTCATTGACAGCTTAAGTAAGCTTTCCGTGCCACATCCAACTCTGACTAGAGAGAAAACATTTCGGCCATCCTTCTAAGTATCCGCAGCAGCATCAAAGCTGACCTGCAGTGTGCACTAGAAGAACTGGTCTACAGCACAACGCTCAAGCTGCCAAGAGCATTCATTTGCGTCCTCGCAATCTTGTATGCCACCGACAAAGTTTACAGTATCCCATTTTCAACGCATGCGTTCACTGCACCCATACCATCTTTGAAAATAGACCAGAGATGTGCAAATGCACAGTGGACTCTCTATCTGCACCCACATTTTCGTCCGCACAGACGCTATGCGTCGCTCTCTTCAGCCTCAATACACCGGCTTCAGGGTTCTCTAGGGAACTTCTAGGTACTTTACCTTAGACCAAAATGATCGCCGAAAGACGGTCTACATCGATCTTTTAAAGGATGCGTACTTCGAAAAGCCACCTCTAATCTCACCCGGTACAGCCGCAAAAGTAAGCTCTTCCGCAGCTGCATCTTCCGCCCCCTCTATTACTCTTGACTCTTCAACAACCCGGCCTCAACCCCAGTCAATTGACCGACACGATAGATTGGTCAAAATTCCAATCCGCTTTCCATATCTTGGTAAATTTTCTATATTCCTTGACATGCGTACTTTCCATCTTCCATGATAATCGTGTGTATCATACACCTGTTTTACGAAACGGCAGAGAAATCCCAAAACCTTTATAAAACAAAAAATGTGCACGCGTTTTTGTATTGTAAACTTGTCTCGTTTTCTATACGGCATCACGTCTCAGTCCCCCCGGGTTTTATGTTCCAGAGCCCAAGTTTTCTAAGAAACAGCGGAACCTCCTGGTCCACCTGCTCAAAGCCTCAGACCCTATCATCCTGGTTCCAAGCAACCGCCACTCATCACTACCAGTGTAACAACAGTTAGCCTGGCTCGCGAGATAGGAGAAACGGTTACCCAAAGACGACGTCCGGGATTTTTCCTGGGACGACGAGCAGCATTACTGTAAACTGGGGTACATTTGGAATGTTGCATCTCTCAAGCGCACCGTCAGGTCTGCAGCTGTCTGTTAAGGCTACTTATATGGTTGTGAAACCTGGCCCATCAGCTAGACAGACATAAAGTAGTGACGTTCGATCATCGTTGCATTCGCAGCTTGGCTCATATCTAGTAGGAGCACCGTGTCAGCGATGAATGTGTTCGGTGTCGCACATTTGGTACAGAAAGAGCAAGTGAACCATTCAGAACCATGATATCACGCACCAGGCTCCGGTAGCTGGGTCACGTGTTGCGCATGCCAGCACACTGACTTTCGCGGTGTGCACCGTTTGCATTCCGGCGGTGCGGTTGGAAGAGGAAAACGGGAGGCCAACCGAGGACTTGGTCAAGAGAAATGAAAACCTTCAGTTCGAAATTGGCGTCGGATGGTGCCTCCCGGCTGTCTGGCTGGAGTTGTAAGGCCGGTGAACACGTTTGGTTGGACACATTTGCTTATATGGCAAAGAGCCTGCCCCAACAACCTTTGTGCTGTCAGTTTCTTTGCTCATTTCCCTCAGCTTTAGATTATCCCTCGAATTAGGATCTAAAACGGAATGTATAATATAATGTTTAATAGTACATTGCTTGCTTTCCGAATTTTTTGTAGTGTAGTTTTTAGAGTATTTTTTGCGGCACGTTAGCTGAAGTGTGATATTGCCCTCAACTAACGTGTGTTGATGATGGTGATGAGGATGCAGCGAAGGATACTCTGACGGCCATTTTTTGGACTAACCAGTTTCTTTTGCAATCCGAAGGGCCCGCCCCGACAACCTATAAACAATGCTTTCCGGTTCACACCCAAATAAAAAATAGCAAATCACAAAAAGCCTGGATCTTGCGAAAACCACGCGGGCCCTATATTCACCTGTGTCCACTACAACTGCTATCCTACGCTCCCGTCCTTACTTTGTCTCCCCAGCTGACATATTTATCAAAGGCTTCCCCCATCCAGCCATCTAAGGGAATGCCCCTGTAGTCATCATCATCACCAACAGCAGTACATCAGCCATTTGAACTGATGCTTCGCTGCCATACAACCAGGAGGACCTATGAAATAAAGGATAAGAAGAGGGTGAGTGGGGGGACTTACATGAAAACCTTATCGCCCTAAGCAAACATTCTGGGTCAAGGTGTCTACACCTTGTGTACACAATATACCGTCACAAACAGATAAGGCGGCATCGGCGAGACAGCTTCCTTGCGAATTTCACTGCCACGCGCCATAATCAGCCAGGTTATTTATTATTATATTCATTATTTATCTATTCAAATGGCCAAAATCACGCCCTAGGGCAGTATACCACTCATGGATGAACCTAGTCTGTCAAACAGTATAGACAAGGCAGCGCTAAAGATTTAGCGTAAGACACTGACTGTGTCTTTCATTAGTACTCGAAATCGCTGTCACTTGAATGTCCAGAAAAGTATTTTGTAGCAGTTCCTGTAACGCGAATTTGTAAGATATTTGGTCGTGTAAGTAACGTTTTTATATATAACAAAAATAGGGCGTTACCCACCATGTTAATTAATACTAGCAATACAGTGTGTTAAGTACAAACAAAGCTTAACAAGTTGGTGAGATTATATAAAAAATGCTACTCAAACGTTGAAATGCGATCACGCACTGTGGTCAGGGTAGAATGTGTTTTCGTGCGGTTGCTATCACCTAAATATTTTAAGCGGCGCTGCGTAGGGATGTGGTACAGTATAAGAAATTTGTTTCGCGCGTCTAACAAGAAAATGTAGCAACTGGATATTATGTTTATAATACAAATATATACATGGTTGTTTAGACAATAAGGTTTATGGTTTGTTGCCAAAACTATTTCTCCTTCTGACACTAGGAGCGGAAACGCGTGTGCAATTTTTAGGAATTGTTACTGCAATGGTTCTAGTAGGAACCGAACTATATCCTTACTGCTGTAATGAAGGAATAGAAGATTCCCACGATTGTCGCATGACGAACTGCAATACCCTGTGGGTCGAAATCGAACTCGGTGAGAACGAGAGTGGTGTACGCCACAGGCGTATATAGGTGAAAACGCGGTTCCGACTACATATACAAGCATAACAAAAGAATATATCGCAACAATTAAAGAGAGTTATTGAGTGGCTAAAACAGTTACTAAGAATGTTCTATGGGATCCAAAAATATATATTTTCAGCAGGACTGAAGGATGATTGGGGGATTTCGCTACCTGCCAGCTGCTCAGCCGCAATGTACATGCACGCCGACACCGAAGCCCAAAGCACGATATCAGACCTTGGAAACCAACTTGGAGACCAAACCATGGAAGACAATGGTGCATACACCTAGGTCATATACCAGTGTACCAACGCAGCCTGTTCAACGATCAAAGTTTCAACCAGGCCTCCGGAGCCCCCGACTACGATGCTTTACCCGCGTACGTCCCAGACCCGTTCTGGGTAGTACAGCACTTCCCTCTAAGTGCAGTCACGTACATAATGCTTTTATACCCATCGTTATGTGTACGTCAAGTATAGCGTCAGCGCTAACAGTAACATTACGGAGCGCATGTGTTCGGTTAATATGTCTCACTGACACGGGCGCATTTAAGAGCCTATTTACCTCTGACCTAACTGACCTTCTAGCAAAACGCGTGTACGCTCTTTGCCGCTATCGAATAACGGCCGCCAATGGAGTATTCTTATCCGTTGGAGAATCGTTCACTGCGCGGTTTGTTATCGCTAACCAGAGCTTTACGCAGGATTTTATGGCTGCGGACAAAATTCCGTTTGGTTTTCTGGTTGAGTTAGACTCGCGTTGCCGTTTGAATTTTCTATTAGATCTAGACTATTGTCAACTGGTCACAGATACTGTTAAAGTACAGATAAGACCTTGCGAAAGTGATGGCTTAGAGGCACTTACAATCTACGTGGACACCCCAGACAGCGAAAACTACACGTACGCCTTGGTTCGCTCACTCGACATAGTCACTGATGAGCAGACACTGAAGCAGCTAAAAGAGTTGTTAGGGAACCACTGAGACACTTTCGCGTGGCGAACTACTGCTTTAGGTAGAACCAAGCGCGTTAAACACCAGTTGGACCCCGGGGATGTAATCCCGATCAAACTTCCCCTTAAGACGTATCCCAGCACATTGACAGGCTGTGTTACAAAAGCTCATAGGTGAACTTCTGGTAAAGAAGGTAACACGGCATTGTACTTCACCAAGAGCGTCCCCGGTTGTTCTGTGGAAGAAGAAAGAAGGTGACTTCGAATAAGTGTAGACTATAGAAACATAAATGATTACCCGCTCCCTAGAATCGACGGCTTATTTGACGCGCTGGAAGGACCGGCTTACTTCATTAGGTTGGAGCTGGAGTCGAGGTAACTGCATGTGGAGGTTGAAGAAAGTGTTAGAGAAAATACAACGTTTGTAGTTGCAGCAGGCTTTTACGAATTCCAGACCATATCCTTTGGCCCAATACATGCACCTGCAACCTTTCAACACTTGAAGCAGAAGGTCTTGCACTGCTTCCTACCATAAAAGTGTCTCGTCTACTTGGATGATACTATATTTCATGGGAAAACGAAGTATGAACATTTGAACAACTTTGCCGATGTGCTGAAACGCTTATTTGAGGTAGGCCCGAAACTTGAACTATCAAAGCGTCACTTACTACCGGCAGAACTAGTATACCTCGGGCATATCATCTCAAGGACGGGCATCCGAACAGATCCAAACGAGACGGAACGCTTATAGTCCTGGACAACCATTACAAACACAGCAGCTGCGTAGTTTGCTTGGGTTAGCACCATATTACTGACAATTCATCCAACTTTTCGACCATTGCTGCCACATGTAAAGCATTGCTGCAAAAGCGTCAAGCCTTCGAATGGTCCACAGAATTTAAGAAAGAAGATAACCGGCTCCGGGAATTTTGGTGCGGCATCTTCACTAGTGTACCCAGATTTATCACTATCAGTTGGTACATTTAGTTCGGAGCAATGTTGTCACAGCTAGGACCAGGTAGAATGGAAAGTCGTATACTACAGTAGCAGAAGCTTCAGCTGGAGAGAAAAGAATTATTGTACTATCAGAAAATGTCAGCTTCCGTGTGCTTCATAAAACAGCAATTAGATTATCTGCTGGGACGGCGATTTGTGGTACTGACCGACCACCTGTCCCGTAGTTGGCTGCAAAACTTTAAGGATCCTGAAGGACAAATCGCGGGCTGGTATGTGCTTTTGCAGGAATATAACTTGGGATGCCGACACAGACCAGAATGTAGACGCGTTATCTCGAATTCCTCTTCGCCATCACGGGGAATGCCCTGCCTGCTAAATACAACAAGTAGCCATGGTTAACGTCCACATTACAGAGTACAGACGCTGTTAGACGTCACAAACAAATGGCCCTGACGTTTCACTAATTTACGGTTTCTTTGCGTCGTCGATAGACCAACCTGTAAAGAGATGGAAGGAAAAAGTTATGTGGCACGTTGTTTGTGTGCTACGTCGGACAAGACAGTTCGTAAAAAGGTGTGCTATTATTCGACTCCGGCCCGACCCATAATAGCGGACTCGTAGTCCCATAGTCAATGCTTAATGAGGTGCAAATCGAGCTTCACAAAGAAGTGGGACACACGGGGATTTATAAACTGGACCAAGTGAAAAGGCGACGCTTCTGGTGGCCACTCAGCAGTGAGACGTGACCAACTTTTGCCAGCCATGCAAAAACTTTGGTTCTTTTAAGCCTCCAGCACTTCCTAACGGCCCCATCACACCCGAAGAGTGCCGGCTACCCAACGAGATGGATGGTGTCGAAGTGGTAGGACCACGGCCCTTAACACCACGTGGGCAACATTTTATCCTGGTCATGGTGGATTATTTCCCCAACTGGTGCAAGGCAGTACCGGTTGCATAAGCTGATACACTGTAGCGACAGCGCTGATCAAGCATTGAATTTGTCAGCATGGAGCACCAAGCCAACTAACTTCAGAGTCTCCTGTTTTGAGAGTGCTTTGCAACAGAAAATAGACCGTTCTTCGAATATACAAGACAAGGACAAGTGACTATAACCCCCGAATGTAACGGACAGGCTGAGCGAACAAACCGTTTACTCAAAGCCTTACTGAAAGCATGTGTGGAGTAGAACATTAACGATGGGATATCATGTTGCCCAAATGTCTGCTTCCTTACCGAAGTACGGTACATCCATCAACTGGACAAACACCATACTTATGTGGACGGTAAGAGAGTTGCGCTTGCCTTTCTGATCTACGCCTCCCCATAGTTCAGCAGCTGCAGCCAACAGTTCCGGATTAGGTTGGTAGACTTTTGCATTCGCTTAGAAAAGCACACGAGCCCGCTCGATCAAACGTAGAAATGGCTCCTTGACATCAAATGGAGTTTTATGCTAAAACCATTTTCGGCGTCCCTCACAGAGTTGGTGACTTTGCTTGGCTACCTAAGCCCCATGCCCAAGGGGTAACTACAAAGTTCCATCGCGAATGGGCGGGTCGCTACGAAGTGAAGCGAGTACTGCGTAAGCCTACGTGTATCGTAAACCGGGTCGATACTCCAATCAGCCAATCCATAGCGGTACACTTTAACCATCTTAAACCATTTCGAATGAAGGCCAACCAAATCCAAGGGCAAACGATCGGTCCACCAGACGTAGCCGCTAACAAGAAGTGCCCGTAACAGGAGGTTATGTCAAGGCACCTGGGACGTTGCTGGATTAGTGAGCATGGGGGTACTTGACGATCGATTTATTATTATTATTATAACCGCAGTTCACGCCGCCTTTTCGAACCCGAGCTTTTGTGCTGTTGCAGGAGAGCAAGTAGGCAGTAAAGCTTGTTACGCTCAAGGCCTTTCCATTATCATTATACTTATATTCATTCACAATAATGACCAGGTGAGGTTTAATACAAGTAGTTAACTTGCACTTGGATTTTTCTAGCCTAAACACTTCAAGCGGCGCTGCGCAAGAATGTGATGCAGTGTAGGAAAGGTGTTTCGCGCATCTAAACAGAAAATGCGACATCTGCATATTGTTTTTATAACATACTTGTTCAGGCAAAATTCTTTATGCTTTGTTGCCATAAGTAATTCTCCTTCTGGCAACAACAGCGGAAACGCGTGTGCAGTTTTTATGAATTGTTACTTGCAACGGTTCTAGTAGGAACCGAAGTATACCCTAAATGCCGTACTGAAGGAACAGAAGATTCCAACAGTTTTCGTATAACAAATTGCAATACCCCCGGGTCGGAATCGAACAGGGTGAGAAAGAGCTCAGCGTACATCACAAAAGTGTATCGGTGAAAACGCGGTTCCGCTTAAAGCTACAAGTTTACAAAAAGGATATTTCGCAAAAACTAAAAAGAGCTATATTAAATGGCTAAAACTGTTACTAAGAATGTTCCATGAGCATGTCTCTTGAGCATTACTGGTCGTAATTTAGCTTTTTTTGCTATTTCTCTTACAAGCTTAACGTGTCTATTTCTACCGATTCTCTCTGTTAACCTTCTGGCAATAATAATAATATAAATAAATATTTTATTCTCGACAAAGCGAGGCACGCCTTTTGGGCATGATCAGCTTTCTCTCTATGAGCCAACATCCTGATCTCTTCTCAATGGTCTCCTTTCTTAATGCTGAGGCATTATCGATGAATCATCGACAGATCCAGTGGTCTATTCACAACAAATACCGACCGTTGTACGCTT